CGTCAATAGACGAGATTTAGTTTCAGGGCCCGTACCTATGACTGGGGAGATTCTATCTGGGAAAGGTCAAGACATGCAACTCTTTTTTTTTTTTTCTTCTCTTTTCTGAGGGACTATTTTCCTCCAATTTTTTTCAGCTCTACAACTAAAATATAAGTCTAGTGCAATTCTTTTAGCCATAAATTTTGAACTAGTGTAGGGCCTTGAAAGCCACTGCAAAACTTTAAATAAAGTCACCAGAGAAATTATCCAGTAGGTACTGATACTTCTTTTTTTTTTTTTCGTAGAAGGGTGTTGGAAAGAGAATTTTATTAGGAATGAAGTGCTAAAATCTAAATTTAGTTTTTAAGTTTCTTTTTTCATCGGGTTTTATGTTTTGGTTTGTAAGGGTAAAGCGGCGTTGGTTGAAGGGAAGTGTGGTCCTGTAGCCACCACTGCCTACCCTAGAGTAGTGTGGATATTATTTAGGTCTGATGCAAACCACCACAGCAGTTTTAAATAGGGTGCAGGGGAAACATGCTTCCTGGCTACAGCATGGCATTATTTGGCCAAGTTCCACATAAAAGCATAACTCTGTTACCTTGTTAGCTTCTACCCTCCAGGTCCTTATGTACAGCTTCCGCAGATTTAAGTTACGATTTTCAGTAGAACAGATAGGCATTTGCGGCAAGAATGCTCACCACTTATTTTGTACTCTCTACTTTCCTGATAATATTTTGCTCCACAGGTACCTGTTGCTTGTGACTGAGGCAAGATAATGACTCGTACTTCTTTGTTTGGCATGCCAAAAGGGTTTGGAATACTGCACGGGCAAATTGGCTCATCTCAGGGAGAAGTCAGGGAGAAGGAAGAGAAAGAGAATTAACATTTGAGAACCTACCCTGAGCCAGCCACATGACGTTACGTATCTAATTTAATCCTAGGAAGAAATCTCCAAGATAAGTTGTATCATCTTTGTTTTATAGATGGAAAGATGGATGCTGCTGTCTCTGGAGGGTCTCTCTCTCCAGGGTCTCTCTGGAGGTTTGCCTGGGTGCATGTATGTGTGTGTGGCCCAAGTTTCTCATGCTTGCGTGCTGCTAGGCTCTTTTTTGTGGTCTCTATGTGTGTATGTGTGTGTTGGGAGGGAGGCTGAAGACGGGTGAATGGATATCGGATTTGAGAGAGGGGAAGCTTACCATCTAATGTCATCAGTTCAGTGCTCCTGATTTAATTGATTTGCTTTGCTTGCATGATCTGCCTCCTTCCTGACTACATTTGTACCACAGAAAATCAAGATAAGGCAGAGTTTCTTTGCATAAGGAAACTCTACAACCCGCAGTTTGACAATGGTGCCTTAGTGGTAGGACTCATGGTGGGTGACCTGTGGTTTGGCCACTTATAGCAGTTTGCAAAGATGTGTATTGTAAACCCCAAATTCCAAGCATGTAGGACAATCATTTGTGTACAGTCAATTGTGTACAACTGCTGATGAGGGCAAGAAGAGCCGACTTTATTCAACATAACAAAGAAGGGGACAGTTTGACTTTTTTTTTTTTTTTTTTGAGATGGAGTCTCGCTCTGTCGCCCAGGCTGGAGTGCAGTGCCGCAATCTCCACTCACTGCAAGCTCCGCCTCCCGGGTTCATGCTATTCTCCTGCCTCAGCCTCCCGAGTAGCTGGCACTATAGGCGCCCGCCACCACGCCCGGCTAATTTTTTGTATTTTTTGTAGAGACTGGGTTTCACCGTGTTGGCCAGAATGGTCTCAATCTCCTGACCTCGTGATCCGCCCGCCTGGGCCTCCCAAAGTGCTGGGATTACAGGTGTGAGCCACTGAGCCCGGCCCAGTTTGGCTTTTGAAGGGGACAATTTGAAAACTTACAGGGGGTAAGATTCTCTTCCTCGTCCATTACATCAGGATTACTTCTGCCTTTTACTTGCCAGTCAGCTTTTTAGGTCTTAGCACTCAACAAGGAGCAACTGTCCTCTTGGGTGTAGTCAATGTAGTCTACTTATGGCCTCCTGCTTAGACTCTTAAGGGTTCCCTAGCATCTGTGTTTTGTTTATAGGTTTGAAGCTATCGTCAATAGACGAGATTTAGTTTCAGGGCCCGTACCTATGACTGGGGAGATTCTATCTGGGAAAGGTCAAGACATGCAACTCTTTTTTTTTTTTTTCTTCTCTTTTCTGAGGGACTATTTTCCTCCAATTTTTTTCAGCTCTACAACTAAAATATAAGTCTAGTGTATGAACACAACTGGCCACTGTCCTGGGCCTTAGATGGCACTCTGCTATCATTCTTCTCTGGTCAGAGCCGTGCCTATGGGGTGAGGTGACTTTTGGGCCTTCCAGTCTTACTCTCTTTTCGTTTTTAGACCATGATTTGGTTACCTGGGAACCCAAATTCACTGCCCAGAAGGCCCTGAACTGGTATCTGCAGTTGGCATGGATCCTTGAAGCCATCTTCCTGAAGGCCATCATTGCTACTGATTGTGCAATCTCTGCCTGAGGGTCGGTCAAGGGATAGCTCTGTGTGTGTGTGTGTGTGTGTGTGTGTGTGTGTGTGAGAGAGAGAGAGAGAGAGAGAGAGAGCACTTGGGTGTCCACATATCACAAGGCCTCTCTTGATGTAGGATGCAGCAGGCATGGGAGAGCAAGGCAAATTCATTACCAGGGCTCAGGATGATGTCTGTCTTCAAACCACCCATTTCTGAGGAAGGACTATGAATATTGTAGGAGTTCTAAAGTTGTACTTGGTCTTCCAAGACATTGAAAAGATATATTTGTCAGTCAAGGTAGAAGGATGAATGAAACCTATTTTATTGAGCAGTTCGCCACCTTGAGTTGTAACTTTAAATGTTTTGACTTATAGTACATGGGCCTCTATTTGCTCACTTGCCTTGGGCCTTCCCATGTTGGGGATGGGTCTGCAGCAGCAACATTCCTTTGCAGAGATGTTGGGTAGAAATTAGTTTTGGTTAATTGTATCATTTTTTTCCCTGGAACAGACAGCACTGAACATTAAAGAAAAAGATAAGAGTTACTCCGTAGACATAGTGCTGTATTTCCTTTGGGAAATGTAGTTTTTCTTAGTTTGTGTTGTCCTAAAGCGAACTTTAGCTCTATACTTTTTTTTCTTTGTCTTTTATTTATTTATTTTTATTTTTAGATTTCCTAGTGCCCTAGTTGCATTTCTTCTGTGTATTGAGAGACCACCAGGGCAAGGCAAAGTTTATCTGAATGTTTTTTCCTCCTATTGTAAATATTTTATTTGAACCATCCATGGTTCAAATAAAAAAGAGGCTTGGTTCTTCTCAGGCCTCTTTAAAGAAAACAAGGAAAAAGGCTTCCCAGTGCTTTAGAAGATATAAGATTGTTAAAACTTCATTTTAGAGAACCAGGGATTTGGCTGAACTAACATGAATGCCTTTGAAAGAAGATATGGGTTGGGTGCATATTTTCAGTATGTGCTGCAGCAGCTCTTAATTAAAGTATAAATCATTACAAAGTCTTCATTTCGTATGGGGTGATAATACTGCTGCTCTGTGAATGACTACCTGTCACGCCCAAACCCTGCAAACTTTTCTACATAGGGAAATGGAATTGGGCTTATGCCGCCTGTAGCTTTTACTCAAGAGACTTCATGGACTGATTTCCCAATAATCATAATAGCTACCATTTATTGAGGTCTTGCTACTACTTGGATCATGCTGAGTACTTCAAGTGTATTAACCCTCAAAAACAACTTTACAAGGTAGGTTATGTTATGCTTATTATAAATCCTCCAGAGTTAATAAATTTGCCTAAGTCCACCTAGTTAGAAAATGATTAGGCTGGGGTTGGAATCAAGATGGTCTGGTTTGGGGATCTCGACTCCTAATTGTTATACTGTACTGAGACTAGTCTGCCTTAACTGATATAAACTACTTGTCCATTATAGCATGGGTTTTGGAAGAGTAGGGGTTAAGAGAAATAATAATATCCAACATTTTTTTAGTGTTTGGAATCTAAAGCTTGGAAATTTCAGGGACACTCTTTAAGAAGAAAAATATAAAATTAAGAATAAAGTGAATACAAAATTAAGAATAAAGTGAATATTTATTTAGAATTAAAATAGTATACAGGCCGGGTCCAGAATATGAAGAATATATTAATATATTCTTCATATATTATCCCACTGGATTTCCTTAGTGTAATAAAATAACACTTGGTTTATACACCAGGTAGTCAAACATCATGCCTGTCTTGTGATCTCAATGGGAAAATGAAGTATATACCTCAAGTGATACAGTCGTGGCTGAATCATGGAACAATTATGCCATCAGGGAGTTGAGGTATTCTGAGTAAAACAGGCACTTCATTTGAAAGGACTAGGAGACTTCACAGATGCATCAAATATGTTGAGGATATAAATGCCAGGCTCAGGTGGATTTACTGTGAAGTGCTCGAACTTAACCTTCAAGGCTACCTATACCCTGGTATAGGTTCATCTCCTGACTTTAAGTGAGGCCCTGGAAATGTGGCTAACAAGTGTCATCAAGTCAAACACTACGAAATCTTGCAGTGCCCTGAATCTTACAGCTCACATGTAAAAGAAACCTGATAAAAGTTTTCCAAATTTGGAGTCAATCCAAAAAATCTATATGACATTACCTATAATGAATTATGAAGCTGAAAGGAACTTTTCCAAATTATTCAAGAATAAATTACAAATTCTGATCTACAGTTCTAAAGGGAAGACTGAATTTTTTTTTTATTCTCTCAATAGAGAATATTGCAAAATGTTATTGGAAGAGATGATCAAAGAGTATGCAACCAAAAACTATAGGAAAAGTATTTCAGAGGTATGGCAGTTAATAAAAATATTTGTTTTTTAACACTTCATATTTGTAGTATTTATAGCTTTTAAAAATTTGTTGTTTGTATGATACTGTTTAAATTTTTTTTTTTCCAGAGATGAGATCTAATTCTGTCACTCAGTCTGGAAAGCAATTGCGTGATCATAACTCACTGCAGCCTTGGATTCCTAGGCTCAAGCAATCCTCTAGAGTAGCTTGGACTAAAGGCGTGCACCACCATGACTGGCCAGGTTTTTTTTTTTTTTTTTTTTTTTTAAATTTTTGTAGAGATGGTGTCTTACTATGTACCCAGGCTGGTCTTGAACTGTGGGGCTCAAAGGAACCTTTCCACTTCTGCCTCCCACAGTGTTAGGATTACGGGTGTAAGCCACTGCACCCGGCCTGTATACTATTTTAATTCTAAATAAATATTCACTTTATTCTTAATTTTGTGTTCACTTTATTCTTAATTTTATATTTTTCTTCTTAAAGAGTGTCCCTGAAATTTACAAGCTTCAGATTCCAAAGACCTGAGTCTTTGACTAATGGTAGGATTTGTTTGTTGGTTTGGAAAATAAATGTTAAAAATTGCCTCTTCCTCCTTCCCCCCGTTGCAAACAGAGACTGAAATCTGCATTGTTATTTCACAAAACGAAAATATTTTTCCTCCTGGTCTAGCTAAACCCTTCATCATTTTCCTGCTTTAGAGCCCCGCGCCAAGTAGAAAAGAAGTTGCAAAGATGTAATTATCACAAACCTTCATCTTGGATGAAAGATCACCTCGCTTTGACCCTTAGTTTGAGATTAGAAAGACTCTACCTAGGAGACAGCTGGTAAAGACTAAGGTGTATTGCACCAGGAATCAAGTTGTCTGGGTGACTGGGCTGTCTTTCTTCCCATTGGGGTTCATTTTCCTTCTATACAGTGACAGGGATTGGACTAAATAAGATTTCCAGTATATTCTCTTCTGAAACATTTCATTCTTTGTTATCCCTCTACTATTTTGTTAGTAGAATAAATCATTGAAGTTGAGTTAGAAAATCTTTAGCTAATCAAAATAGAAAACTAACAAAAGTCATAACAGGTCAGAACTGAGAAATACCACAGACTTCCACTGGTGTTCGTTGGAGACGACTATTATTAAAAAAAAGAAAAGAAAAAAAAACATAGCTATTTTGAAAATTTCCTACTACAGGTGTCTGAGCATACATCCTGACTAAATAGCATGTTTACTTCGGCTAGAGCTCACTCCTTCTTGCTAAATAAAAGGCTTACTTGGTTTTGGTGGTAATATTATTTCTCTTTGGTTAATTATGGTGTTTTCCTTCTCCCCTTCCTCTGAATTGGTAAAAGTGTCTGAAAATTTTTCCTAAGGTAGAAAATTATGAAATGCTTTGCTATGCCTAGGAGAAGTAAAGCCTAAAGGAACTTTCATATTTTTTTTGGGGAAAAAAAAGGAAACTTGTCTAGATATAATTAGTGTTCTGTTGCCTTTCAAATATTTCTCTACCACTTTTCTTAAAATATTCTCAGAAAAGACAGAATTTGCAACAGATTGGCAGTTTTCAGACTGCTGTTTTAGGCAGGGGAGTAGCTGCTGCAACCTATAATTGCGTTTCTGTAGAGTTTGCAGACACTTGTTAGAATAGACTAGGAATCTTTCAACTTTTGCTTTGAGTGACTACCTTGTTACTACATACCAGATTTGCGTCTCATTCTCTAAAGCTCATAGTAGTGGGGGGGAAGAAAAGACAATATGATATAATTTGTCCTTCAAGTGTGTTAAAAATCTAATAATAACATTTTATATTCATTATTTTGGAATCCCTTAAATTATATCATTATAAAATAATCTAACAATCTCAATCCCCCGGGGCACTCTTACTTTTATTTTTATAATTTAGATGTTAGAATACATTTCTATTCTCTTAGGCCTTTGTTCATTCTACTTTCTCACTTCTTTAGGAGCCTCATTCCTTCCTGAATATTACATTTTATGACTTATCATATGCATCAAGGCTCAAATCTTGAGCTCCAGCATGCTGACCCTGAAAATGATGGTTTCCTATCATCTTCTGATAACAGCAACTGAAGGTGTTCTAATACCTTGCCGCTCATAGGAGGTCTGACATCACTGAGAATTTATTGGAAATGAGGACTGTGGGTCCTCTCCCCAGACCTACTGCAACATAATATGCACTTTTACAAGGTCCCCAGGTGATTCCTGTACACATTGCAGTTTGAGAAACACTGCTGTAATAGCATTAAAGCATGTTCCAAAGAGTAGCCAAATGATCTGCAGTGGTTTTAGTGGATCACATCAGGCTTGTTTCTGTCAGTAAAGAAGAGGAGAATTCAAGGAAGAGTTGCACTTAGTTTTATGAGAGTCTTGACTCCTCCTAAGCTGTTTTAACTGTGTGGTAACTATTAGAACATGCTAAAGCTAGCAGAAGACAGAAGGCACTGGTAGCAAGTCAACTAAATGAGTCCGTTTTTAACCAGTCTGTTTCCCCAATCATCCTTCATGAGTCTTTTATCCACTGATTGTCCCTCCCTTGACCATGGTGAACTGTAGAACCCAAGGACCCATTTCTTTTTTCTTTTTCTTTCTTTCTTTTTTTTTTTTTGAGATGAAGTCTTGCTCTGTTGCCCAGGCTGGAGTGCAGCGGCGCAATCTTGGCTCACTGCAACCTCTGCCTCCTGCCATTCTCCTGCCTCAGCCTCCCAAGTAGCTGGGACTACAGGAACGCACCACCCCCCCCGGCCTTTTTTTTTTTTTTTTTTTTTTTTGTATTTTTAGTAGAGACGGGGTTTCACCATGTTGGTCAGGCTGGTCTCAAACTCCTGACCTCATGATCGCCCACCTGCCTCCCAAAGTGCTGGGATTACAGGCGTGAGCCATCGCGCCTGGCCCCAAGGGCCCATTTCTATACTGAACTCACTGCATTAATCATGTTTACCTCATTAGGCATTTACTCACAGACTGCCTTGACATATGTAGGCCTTAATTCATTCTGGAGCTATTATACCTCAGCATTTCTTAAAATAGGTAGCACTCCGCTCTATACAAAGTAGGTGCCCAATAAATTAATGATTCGATGACAGGTTTTCAGGAAGTGGTTTTACTCTTCAGCATTTTTTAATCCTCTTTTGTCTTGAGGAACTTACTTGTCTGATGCTCAGTGAAGACTCAATACATTTTTCCTGAATTACTCAACATTTGTTTTAGACTGTCCTGAGGGTGCCACTGTAGGCATTTTCATTGATTTGCTTCTTTATTTTAATATCATAAGGCAGCTTTTTGTGCCTTAGTTACTTTTGTCTTCCAGAATTATGGGTCTCTGTCAGTTTTTAATGCCCTTAAGTAACATAGTAACCACAATAAGCAGTTCTTACAAGCAGTTTCTGATGTTTCCAAGTAATTTTATTTTCTGACTTTTTTTTCTTTGCCTTTGACATCTGAACTGTACTTGGCAAGAAAAAAAAGAGAAAACTTTCCATTGCAACTCATATCTCATGGTGCTTCCTGTTGCATCAACTCTAAAGTTATTCATCAGAAAAGTTACGTAAAACGCATAACCATTTGGTTTTATTTTTGCTCTCGAATTACGCTACCATAACACAAACCTGAACTCTTATTTTTGTCATCTGTAAAAATCACCTAATTGGTCTCTGCTTATGGACACCCTTTGTTCTTTCTCTGTCGATAACACAGGCATTGCCATCAGTTAAATCTCCCCTCAGATTGCATTTTGAATAGCTGACCCCTGCTAGAAAGCCTTCCATGGATTTTATGAATTCTAGATCATCACATGACCTTCCCTTCCTCTTTGAGCATGGGGGCTGCCTCAGTGTCCCTGGGCTCCTAAGAGAGTGCCTTGTGCCGATGGGACACAGGACCAGTTTGATGACTACCTGCACAGATGAAGCCAGACCTCTTGCCCATCATCTATTCCACCCTTCGCATCCCTCATGTCCTGGTTCCACTCGAACCCAGCTGCCTCACACATCCTTTTTGCTTACAAATTTCCTAGCTTGTGACCATTCTCCACCACCTTCCCCAAGTTTTACCATTCTCTATCTGTGCCCTACAACAGCTCCACCCTTTGAAATAATGCCTAGTCTAAATGTTACTTTTTCTATTAGGCCTTCCTTGATTATCCATCCCACTGCGATTCTTTCTCCTGCCCATAGCCTCTTTAACAAGCCTTGCATCGTCATTCATATGACCTTGTTTGCTAAGCTACCTGTGCTATCTCTGTGTGTTTTAAACTCTTTTACTAGAATGAAAACTCTTTGAGGGAGAAACTTCTGTCTGATTTTGCCATAGCTCTTAGCACACATTCTCACTAATTCTGTTTATGTGTTGTGTTTGTTGCTGTTTGGAATTCATTGCTTTTAAAGGCTGAGGAAACTTGCTTTTAGATTCAAGGCTGGGAGTGCCAATTTTTTTTCTCCTAGATGGCTTACCTCACCACCAAGTGTAAATGTCAATGGCTTAAAGCCACCTGTAGCATTGTTTGACAGAACCATAGGCTTGTGGAAAATCTCATATGATCTGCTTTGTGTAAATTGTTCTTTACAGTGGAGACTTGCTCTGTCTGCAGGCTTTAGTTTCTGTGAATTTTGGGGAGCTGTGCTGTGTGGGTGTTAAGGTTGATGATTTTCCATCCATCACCAGCTCCGCCTTTGATTCATTTATTCTCTCGTGTGTGAATCTTTTGCAGAAGGCTCAATGCATTATGACTATAGAGGCCAGACAAAGTCATAAAGTAAATCACACCATCTGACACAGGCCAATTTTTTGCCACTCCTGCCTTTCCTCTTTATGAATCAGAGATGATCTCAGTCATTGGGATTCCTGGAATAAGTATGGCTGAAGGGGTCTTGGTGAAATGGAGAGTGCCTGAAGATACTCTTCTACCTACCTGAGGGTAAATAATCCCATATTGCAAAGGTGACTCCTGGTTGTACTTTTTGGAAAGCCCTGTTAAAGTGACACATGCGAAGGAGACTTAAGCATGAGGCCTTTCTTACGTGGGCGCTTAATAGGAGTGGGTTTCCAAGGAAGGTCTTGAATTTGGCCTTCAGCCTTCTCCTCCGCCTTAGTCTCCATCCAACCTGAATAAACATGCAGTGTAGGTACCACGGGTAGTGATCTCTTGTGCAAGCACAGCTTCCAGATATGTCATCTGCCTTTCGGCCAGATCATCACCCATGTAGCCCCTCTTCTATGGGAATTCTGGAGCTACCACTGACATCATAACATTACATAGATTTCGACTGGCAGTGCCCTACCTGCTCTATCTATAGAGCAAAAGGAGATGAAACAAGAATTTTAATATTCCTTTTTTTTTTTTTTTGAGACGGAGTTTTGCTCTTGTCACCCAGGCTGGAGTACAATGGCACGATCTCAGCTCACTGCAACCTCTGCTCCTGGGTTCAAGTGATTCTCCTGCCTCAGCCTCCCAAGTAGCTGGGATTGTAGGTACCCACTACCACACCCGGCTAATTTTTGTATTTTTAGTAGAGACAGGGTTTCGCCATGTTGGCCATGCTGCTCTCGAACTTCTGATCTCAGGTGATCCTCCGCCCCGGCCTCCCAAAGTGCTGGGATTACAGGCATGAGCCACTGCAGCTGGCCAGAATTTTAATATTCTTAAGTCTAAATATTCTGTGGCACTTATTGGAAATGGTTGAAATACAATGCTTTTAATTTAGCGTGTCATTGGTTAACTCTCAAAACTACTGAAAATCATTTATCTTTCAAGATTTTAATGATGATGTTGGTGAGGATGTTTGTGGTAAGTAGATAATCACTTACATTTATTGAGCACTTTACAAAGCATTTTCACAAACTCTGAGTACTGGTCGTTATCAGTTTGTTAATGAGATGCCTGTGATGTCTTCAAGGGACAGGAGAGAATATGTTAACTTCTTGAATAACTGCTACAGCTGTAGTTAGCTCCCTATGAGCCAAGCCTATTGGCTTTATCACTCCCAAGGTATAACTTATTTCATATATATAAGCAACTTGATTAAATATTAGATGTCTGTGTAAGCCATTTTCTGCCAGTCGAAACAATTTTGTTCTTCTTTATATCTTTCTTCAGACATACATCTTTAATAAGTTCTGGGAAAGGAAGTGGAAAACAATGCTTGACCTCTGATACAATGTACCATTTTGATTATGATCAGTACTTTAATAAAATTTATCATCAAGAAAGTCTTTGGAGTGAGCCCCTGAAAAGCTTGGGAAAGTGATTGATATGGTGTTGCTTTTCTTGAATTATCTTCCCATGTTGCTTAAGATGACCAGGAAGGCTAACTTGGCTCTTGCGCTCTCTAAATTGAACTGTCCTGAAGTTTTAAGAAAATAAAGTGATCAGACTCAGCAGTTCAAGATTGTGTTGGTTGATAGCAGCCACGTAGACCTCAGGTCACTGTGGGTTTCTGTATACTTTATTGGCGGTCACCAAGAGGCAATGAAAGGTCCTGATTTTGTGAACATTTCTGCCCACACCCTTCTTTGGTGCATACCTTTTGGGAATATAGAAAATGTCTTTCATTGTTAAAATAGCTGTTAAATAATATTAAAAGCAAAAAAAAAAAAAAAAATCAGGAAAATAGTCATTTGCCTACTTCTTCAGTCAGATAGAAAACTAGTACCAGCCAGTGCGGTGGCTCAGGCCTGTAATCCCAGCACTTTGGGAGGCTGAGGCAGGCGAATCACGAGGTCAGGAGTTCAAGACCAACTTGACCAACATGGTGAAACCCTGTCTTTACTAAAAATACAAAAATTAGCCGGGCATGGTAGCGCATGCCTATAATCCCAGCTACTCAGGAGGCTGAACCGGGAGAATCACTTGAACCTGGGAGGTGGAGATTGCAGTGATCCAATATCGCGCCACTGCACTCCAGCCTGGGAGACAGGGTGAGACTTTGTCTCAAAAAAAAAAAAAAAAAAAAAAGAAGAAAAAGAAAACGAGTACCAAGAAAACAGAAAAAAGAAGTGATATGAATAATCTTACTATGATTGAGACACATGGGTGAAAGAGCACCAGAGGGAAAAATGTCTAGTCTGATAACTTTGAAGAAAACATATTGACCGTGTCTAGTTATAATAATATTTTAATCTCACAGTAATAGAGAACTTCATTATTTTCAAAACAGTTTCACTTTCATGTCATCTGTAATCTTAAAAACAACTCTCTGAGATGGATGTAATTATCCTGTTTTACAGATGTGGAAATGGAGGCCCAGAAAGGTGAAATGATCTGCCCCAGCTGTAATAGGACTGCCCATCCACTGAGACATAGTACAGTATCATTAATTAATCTTTTCATCATTTTTCTATTTTTAGTCGTTGTGCTCCCTCACTGCTTAATTTGTCAGTAAATGTAAGGTAAAAATCTGTAGTCTCCACGTATTTTCATATTTTCATAGCTACATTGTCAAAGAGGCGATGGCAGTGTAGTCATCAGGAGACTTGTTCTTACCTTGAACATTAAAAGCCCTACTTAAGACTGGAGAATTTCTTCTTTGAAGGTTTTGTCCACCTGTCATAAGAGAGTTCAAAGTATGTAATGAGTCATTTTACCTTTCCCCTTTTCTTATGGGGACAGCTTCTCTTTTAGACACCGTGTGGTCTGCCCTCTTGGAGGTTGTGTCACCATTGTCAGTAGACAAATGCTGCCACGTGTAAAAGGCTATGCCAGTTCCTACAGTCCTGTAGTTTTGCCCTTCACTAGAACTTCAAGTTGCCTAACCTAATCGGGAATACGGGCATCTTTATATAGGAAGTGCGCTTCTTCATCATATAGACATAGAGGTCAGGTGTTATCATCTTTGGCTTCCTTTCTCAGAAATTCTTTTTTCTTTTTTTTTTTTTTTTTTGAGACGGAGTCTCACACTGCCGCCCAGGCTGGAGTGCAGTGGCCGGATCTCAGCTCACTGCAAGCTCCGCCTCCCAGGTTCACGCCATTCTCCTGCCTCAGCCGCCCAGCTAGCTGGACTACAAGGCGCCGCCCAACACCCCACCCAGTCGCCTCCGCAGTTTTCTATCTTTCTTTAGTAGAGCGGGCTTCACCGTGTCAGCCAGGATCGGTCCTCGATCTCCTGACCTTCAGTCGATCCGCCGCCTCGCCTCCAAAGGTGCTGGGATTACAGGCTTGAGCCACCGCGCCCGGCCTCTCAGAAATTCTTAAACATGAATGTCTGAATAAACATACAGAGAAGAAGTTGGGTACAGTGGCTCATGCCTGTAATCCTAGCACTTTGTGAGGCCAAGGTGGGTGGATCACCTGAGGTCAAGAGCCCAAGACCAGCCTGACCAACATGGTGAAACCCCATCGCTACTAAAAAATACAAAAATTAGCCGGGCATGGTGGTGGGCGCCTGTAATCACAGCTACTTGGGAGGCTGAGACTTGAACCCAGGAGGTGGAGGTTGCAGGGAGTCGAGATCATGCCACTTCACTCCAGCCTGGGCAACAGATCAAGATTCCATCTCAAAAAACAAACAAACAAACAAAATATAGAGAAACATAGAACAAGAACTGTTTTGAGTAGCAGAGCGCGACTCTCACAGACATCTAATTTAGTCAAATTGCTTTTATATAAAAGAAGGTATTCATTGAAGAGTAACAGAGCCTACCTCTATGACTGATATTTTCAAAGAAAATGGCTAAGAATCACTTTGATGGCCAGGCACGGTGGCTTACACCTGTAATCCCAGCTCTTTGGGAGGCCGAGGAGAGCAGATCACGAGGTTAAGAGATTGAGACCATCCTGGCCAACATGGTGAAACCCCATCTCTACTAAAAATACAAAGATTAGCTGGGTGTGGTGGCACGTGCCTCTAGTCCCAGCTACTCTGGAGGCTGAGGCAGGGGAGTCACTTGAACCTGGGAGGTGGAGGTTGCAGTGAGCCAAGATTGTGCCACCGCTCTCCAGCCTAGTGACAGAGCAAGACTCCGTCTCAAAGGAAAAAAAAAAAAATCACTTTGATTAGCAGAAACTGTGTTTCACTTGCCATCATAGAAAGCTAAGCTATGCTTCTGCTTTTCTACTGCTAGCTTTATATAAATGTTATTTTCCTTGTAACATAAAAGAAAAATGTTGTTTTATTTAATTTTTGTTGAAGAACACATTAAATTAGCCCTCACACTGTGGTATGGACTTCTTTCTCTTTTCCACCAGTGTTCTTCAGGGTGATTTTTCCAGTGGGCTTGGTTGGGACTGTGTGGATCATTGTGATGCTTTGTTCTCAGTGGGGATTTTCCGGCAAAGATGAGCTTCATTAAACAATGACTGGGTTCATGGATTTGTAACTGGAGTGATTTTCTTCAAACTGTGATACATTTCAGTGTTACCTTTTTCTGAACGCCCTTTTTAAAAGGGATTCCATAGCAAGTCTTCTGGAATGATACCTTTTATATAATTCTTCAAAAATTGTAATTTGTACATACTGATTCCTGTTAAGGCAGATGTTATTGTATCAAGAGAAGACTCAAATTTTGAACATATTGAAAATAGTGTTTCTTCAGATCTGGTGGATAGGTGATGCTCAATATATATTTGTTTAATGGAATAAAAAAGAAAAATATTAAAGAGCCTAGGAAGATAAATTAAGTTGCAAGGATATATTGTTTGCAAGGATATATGTCTGTTTAGCATTGCAATTTTCTGAAGGGAAGGCTATCCACAGCTGTTAATTCTGATCTAAGGAACTATTTGCCTTCTTAACTTCTTTGCTAGGTTATCTAAAGGGAGATATCCTTTCTCACATTTGTTTCCTTGAACTTACTTTTAATGTTGCCTTGTAGGGTCAAAACTTTAGAAATACAGCTTTCTCAGGAAACTTGCCCCTCAGATCCTTCAGACATATCTACCTTTAAGCTTATTGTCCGCTTGGAAATTGGCAAAGGATTACCACCCTTTAACTGGTAAAATCCACACTTAAAAATTAATCTAAAATTATTTTCAGGAAGAATTTATATAATGGCAACTAAATGCCCTGCAGCCAATTGTGTTTATGATTCCTGCCTCATCTCCAAATGGTATTAGAGTTTGAGTCATATGAGAAAATTAATTGAGTTGGGCTTGATTGTACAGGTATACATATATAATAATGTTCTGGTTATAATGCAGTTTGCAGGTTTTCTAGTTACAGCTCAAGGCAAAGATGAGAAGCATCACTATCGGTCTGACTGCCTCTGTCCAGTACTGCCATACCCCATCTCTAACTACTACATTTTTTCCTATTGAGTTCTCCAATCCATGTAGGATAGATAAGTCCCTTCCTGAACTCAGTTTATTTTTCTAACCCTGGCTGCACGTTAGGATCACCTGTGAACTTCTAAAAGAATTCCAGAGCCCGAGCCAAACACCTAGAAGTTCTGACTCATTGCCCTGGGGTAGGACTTTGGCATCGTTATTGTTTTAAAAGATCCTCAGATGATTCTGATGTGGAACCATGTTGAGAAACACTAATCTAGCCTAACCCAGTGAGGTTACAAATGAAGAATTTCACCAGAGAGGTCAAAGTACTTGATTTCCCACAGCAAAGAAATGCCATTTACTGGGTTCAAAACTCCCATCTGTTGACTTAAAATCTAGCATAACACATATGAGCAAGATTTTAGAAGGTTTTGGAAACTCATCTGCAGAACAGAGCAAATACAGGCCTATCTAAAAGGATACTTCACAATAAAGATGGTTAAAAACCAAAACCGGAGGAGGCAGAGCACTGTTGGTGGGGCTGGTAGTGGGGGGAATGGATGGTTTTCCAAAAGAGAAAACATTTGACCTGGGTCTGAAAGGCTGGGTGTGATTTAAGGCAGGCACCATTGTTCACTTGTTAGCCCCAGGGCCATGCTACTCCACTTCCTTCAGAGGGAAGCTGGCAAGTGCCTGCCTGGGGTGTGTCTGTCCACCATGTAGAGGCAGTTCTTCAGCTCTGTCAGCCATGGCCAAAGCAGGCAACATTTGATGCACCTTGGACCACTCCTGAGGGGCAGCATCAGACACCAGGCCTCCTTTCAGACACCATTCTTGGAGTCGCTTCCCTCCATCACGTAAACCTCCCAGCCAACAGTGAAGGCACTGAACTCCTTCCAGGGACTGGGCAGGCTGCCTTGGGGATGCTCTTCTTGACCTTAAAATCTGCCTGATAGATCTGGTAGGGAGGTAGAAATTGTGGTGGTAGGAAAGCCAGCAGTTATCAGGTCAAAGGGTTTCTGATAAAAGAAGTTATTCAGCAGAAAGGTAATCAGATTATGGGAGCCTTAAGCACCAGTTTGGGCTGAATTCTCTGAGTCACTGGCAAATTGTAAGTAGGGGAATGACGTAATAAAACCACTGCAAAGCCAGAAGTTTGTGATGGGAAGATAGGAAATCCCTTTCTTTTTTTCCCATATGGGAAAAAAAATCTAAAGATGTGTGGGGAAGCTCTTTAGAGTGCCAGGACTTTCAGTGTCCCCCAATTTATCATTAGATTCTGTCCAGACCTCGTTCTGCACACAGTAGCCTGGGGACACCACTGGAATAAGGTGTGACAATAAAACAAGGAAATAAATTTATTAATTTTGGAAAATGCCTTTTTTTTTCCTAGAATTCACTCATAGGCATTTCTTGACTTCAGGTTTCACAAAGAGATGCACCATCCTTTGGAATTCTGAAGAAACTCAAGCTTCAATTGAGCTGAGTCTCAGTGGCACGCATTTTATTACATTGAATGCCATTTTAATGTGCTTGAAAATGGGGAGATAAGGGCAATTGGTACACATGTGTAAACCACTACAAAGAGTTCACCTGAGTGTAGAAGGTAGCCAGTAGCCTAAAACCCCTGTGTTTTGGAGGCTGTTACTTCATAATCTCTATTATGAAAGTGGGAAAAATCATGTAATTATCTCTCTGTGATGGTCTTTCCACTGTTCAATAGCACTTTCTGCAGAGATGAAAATATCTTATACCTGGGCTGTGTTAAGGTTTAAGGACAGCACAGGTATGAGATATTTTCATCTCTGCAGAAAGTTCTATTGAACAGTGGATCTAAGACCATCTTAGATGATGCATGTGGCTTGAAATGTGGCAGGTGCAAATAAGGAACTGAATTTCAAATATAGATATATTTTTATTTCAGTTAACTTGAATTTAAATAGCCACAGGTGGCTCTTGGGTATCATCATGAATAGGGCAGTTACGGAGCATCATTAAAGTTCCTGTTCTTCTCAAGTCCCAAAGAGACGCTTTCAGGTAATTTCTTAGCACCTATAATCACAGTGGGGCAGATTAAATTACTTGTACCTTTCCATTT